ACATTTGTATTTCACCTTCAAATTGTTTCATTTCATTTTTCTTCCTTGCCTTGCTTGGTATCATTCTTTTCAGCACAACCTCACGTGTCTGAATTTACAGATAGTTTTTCACTGCCGTACTGTAGTAACACAACAGATCTGAAATCACACAAAAACATAAAATCCTACCAGGAGTTATATTTGTCTTACTGTAAAAACCACAGACATGTTTCGTGCGTGATTTTTTATAACTTGAAATGCAAATATAAATTGTACATTTTGAAAACTATGTGTGACACAAATTTGACACCAGTTTTGTAAACAATAAAGTTATGAACAACTATTTGTCTAAAAATGGAGCCAATGCATCTGGCGGCTGTTTTTGTACGACCATTTAAAAATAACATCCATCCATCTTCTTCCACTTTATCCGGGGCCGGGTCGTGGGGGCAGCAGCCTAAGCAGAGAATTTATTATATTTATTATTTAAAAATAACACTATAACTAAAATGAGAGAACAATCAGGTGTCACAATAAGATAATAATAATAATGGATTGCATTTATATGGCACTCTTCTAGGCACCCAAAGTGCTTTACAATTCCACTATTCATTCACTCTCACATTCACACACTGGTGGAGGCAAACCACAGCTGCCCTGGGGCAGACTGACAGAGGCGAGGCTGCCATATCGTGCTATCGGCCCCTCTGGCCAACACCAGTGGCCACCAGAGGACCAACACCAGTGGCCACCAGAGGACCAACACCAGTGGCCACCAGAGGACCAACACCAGTGGCCACCAGTACCCCAGAGGGGCCAGTGGTGCGATATGGCAGCCTCACTTCTGTCTAGGGTAAAGTGTCTTGCCCAAGGACACAACGACCAGGACAGAGAGCTGGGGGATCGAACTGGCGACCTTCCTACACAACCAAATCCCACGTGTTGCCTTTATTTGTTATTGGTCGATACGGTACATTTTTCCACCAATAGGAAAGAGATGGCAGTCCTTTTTTTTTTTTAACCATTTCACACTAAACGTGATAATAGTGTTCAGAAAAAAGGATGGCTTATATATATTTTTAATCATAACTCTAGATTTAGTGGCCTGGTATTAAAATGTGAAAACTGATGTATACTTTCAACACACTGAAATAGCGACTCAGCGTGGCTGCAGCTTGTTGCTGTGTTAGCTTAAATCAGTCATGTGATTTGGAGGTGCAGCGTGAGAGTTAATAACACTCACCTTCATTCCATTTCCAGAGTGTAACAACCAACCACCTGTGTGTAAGCTGAAATCCCCATGGTGAATATCCCCCCAAAATGTGCTCGGGGGGGATAAATATGCAATATAGCTAACAGCTAACAGCAATATATTCATTGTCAGCTGTATCTGGCCTCAAAGTGTAAATACTATTAATACCTAATAAACAACACTCTCACATGCAAACCTAGGAAGGCCCCAGTGGTGGCAAGAGTTCATTTTGGGGTTGCACATGCCACCCCTCTAGATCCGCCCCCGACGAAACGTTTCTCCCCCTGAAAACGTTATTTGGGGTTCCTGTAAATCATGAAAAGTGTTACTACTTTAATATTCAAGTCTGGGTTTTCTATTTCAAGGTGAAGTGTTTGTTGCGTGCAAAGCAACTGGGGTACAACAATACCTGATATATTGGTGTCATTTAGGTGCTTACATCCAAGCCTTTACAGGTTTGCTGCAGGATACTCGTATACCTGTGCCTCTTGGTACTGAGGAGAGAAAAAATATAGTATTTCTAAATGAAAAAAGTCACCAGGTGTTTGGCATCCAGGGGCAACAAATGAGTACAGGAAGGCTGCCCAGATTGAGTAATTAACATATTTCTTTGTAAAAATGGACTGGAAACTATTTCTGCAGTTTCTACAGAGAAGGAAAACAGAGGTAAATATGTTTACACTTCAAACTAAATTTACTAAAATGAGGTAAAATGACACAGGGACTATATTTGGTGACGTGAAGCTCATTTTTTCTTCATTACACATTTTCACTGACTGTAATGCTAGCTTAGACCGCCAACCTTTGGGTTACAGCTAGTTAGCTATAAGCTAAGCACAACTAAGTTTGTCAGCATGAGTTTCCAGAATCGTTATTAATGTTGATATTGTGTAAATAGAGAAATAAATCCTTTATGCTGGGCATTGCCACTGAATGAGTTTGTGTTAAACACTGAGATTCATAGCACAGTAGGCACAGCCCAGAAATGCTCCCTGTTGCTACATGCTGTCCCTCAAAGTGTAAAAACATGACTTTAAAATAAATAAGCTCATTTGTATGTGCAGATATTAAACCCCTGTTTGAAATAGGAGTTATCTGACTCAATTCAGCTTTATTTATACAGCACCATATCATAACAACAGTTACCTCAAGGTTCCACAATTTCTTCTAAAAACAAAGTAAAAACGTTGACACTGTACAGTCGTGACTTCAGACAGGGAAGTAGCTGTTTCAGTGCTATACAAAAGTGAAAATTGTCAAGGCTGGAACGACCAGCACAAAGTTGGGACTCAAAAGCAGACACAACAGGCAACAAGTGCAAAGCTTTATTGGACAGACGAGACAGGAGTGGAGCCCACTGCAACAGAGAGAGTCAAGGTGAGACTATTAACTGGCAGAAGTGGTTGCACGACTGATTCTCTATTAATCAGCTGCAGGTCTTAGCATTTTCATAAAGTTTGGCAAGATGACACCTGATCTTCTTCTGGAAGTCCAGCGGTGCTCCCTTTAACACAGTGGCTCCAAGTTCTAGTCCAAGTGATGTATTTTAGTTTATTATAACTCCACATGATCTCATAAAGTAAGCCTATTCCTTGCCCTCACATTTTTTTGTTAATCCTGTGTTCATTGACCCTTTCTTTCTTTAAAAAGTTTAGATTGTTTATGTGCTTATTGTTCTTTTTCTTTTTTCTTGGGTTGGGGTTATATATTGATATGTGTGTGTGTGTGTGTGTGTGTGTGTGTGTGTGTGTGTGTGTGTGTGTGTGTGTGTGTGTGTGTGTG